CAAGCAAAAGAAAATCATTCGAATAAAGGCAGGTACTAAAAGAAGAGCCTTGTACAGGGAATTATTTAAAAAATTTAATATTTTTCCTCTAGCCAGAAAATTCTTGCTCTCATCATTAATAATTGTATTGGACAACAGAAAAATTTCAAACTCAGATATCCCCCAACATATGTACAAAATACAGATATAACATTTATGCACCAAACACTAACTTCAGTTTAAAAGGGTGGGGGAGAGAGAGAGAGTTTACTATACTGGAATTAAGCTATTCAATAATCTTCCTACCACTATCTGCTGTCTGAATCACAATATAAACAAGTTTATGCCAGCACTAAAAGAACATCTCCTACCCAAATTTTTCTACTCCATAGAAAAATTTACTTCAACCAAAAATTCTCTATAAAAACAAAAACAATGGTAGTGATGCTTTCTTGTGTAATTATTTTCGTTGCAATACTGTAGTTGTCTGTAAATAACTGTTATAATTACGTAATTCATATTTATATTAGAAACAAGTATATGTCGTGTTACACATCCCTGGTTTAGGCCGATGAAGGCTCTATGAAATGTTAATTAATTCTATTCTAATCTATTCTATAGTGGAGTTCAACATCAAAACCAATCACAAAGATTGAAAACAACGCATGTGGGAAATGAATACTCCACTATACCTTGCATCTCTTGTTTACTCAATAAATTCACCACAAATGGTCCTTTGTAAAACAGCAACTCACCTTTTTCATAACTGGTGTTGCATAAGCAGCATGTGTAACCGTTGTCAGGATAACCATCTTCTTCAGCTGGTTTAGTATCGTCATTAGAACAGTTCGCGGAATATTCAATTCCCAAAATATGAAAAGACATTTTATAAACCAAGTTCTTAAATGCCGTCACAAAACTTCGCCGTCAGTGTTCAGCTATACATAACCTATAACTCGCCATATGCACTAAAATACTGTAAATACACAAGGCAAAGAGACGACGATATACCTTAAATATGCACAAAAAATTAATGTAATTACTTACAATTTGCATACATTTACAATTACAAATTCCATCTATTCTATCGTACGTTATATCTGCCATGCTGACATCTAAACCGAAACTATGTTGTCAGTTATCTGTTAAATTCAGGAACACAGGTATTTCAAACAAATTAGTCATCTGTGATATTCAGTACCAGTTTTAGGTAAATATATCGAGCTCCTGCCACCTAGCCACTGCAGAGTGAAATAAACTAATTTGGCCACATTGCACCTCTCATAAAGTGCTTACATCGAAAATCGGAATGATTCTTCTTATAAAATATTGGTGGCACAGCCTAATGGCATACATGGGGCAACCTTCCGTATGATGTACACAGGTTAAGCATATGAAATTGAAGAATGTGTAAATAAATCTTAGTAACACTATATTCAACCATCACAAATATCCTTTGTAGAGAATTTATTTGGCTTCTGCATATCATCAGTCTTGACATATGAACTAAGATGTCACAGTAATTACAATAATGCTACAATTTTACTGCACAAGCACAAAATTTAAAAAATCACCTGACCCTTTTAAAAATAATGTTTCTCAAATATTTAGAACACACAGCTGTGTGTATGTGTGAATCTAACAAATACACAATTACATTAACTTACATTAAAGTGCATGTAATGAAAAAAATACACAAGTAACTGGCATAATAAAAGCCAATAAATTTTAATTATCCTACAAATGGGGTCCCCAACTTTTCAATACCAATGACTACATTAATCCTTTTTTATTGATGCTCAGGCTGATGAGCTGAAATGACAATTTATTAAAAATACAGTAACTTACTATAGCAAGCAGGTTCATAGTTAACTAAGAGTCCTGACAATGGTATAATACAATTACTACCACTGGATATACAAGACTTCATTCATAGGGTTTTGTGAAAAGAACACGTTTTAGAGACTGGATGTGTTATCATCCCCAGGTATAAAGGCAGGGAGTACCTACTTAGGTCCATTAAAGAGAAATTTCTAATGAACTCAACTGAGTAGGTACTTCCTACCAGATCACCTACAGACATAAATAAAGGTAGTTTCCAAGGTTGTGTTCATTCCAGAATACCAGGTGATAGGCAGAGTCCAGAAATCCAATAGTAGTACAGTTAACTCTCAATTTAATGGATTTCAGATTAAACAGACACCATCTGATATTACAAGACATTTTTGGTCTTATCAGACAGTCTTTTAAAACTTAAAATATCTGCTATTCATCATTGGAGTTCATATTACTGTCTGTTTAATGGTGTTCCTAATGGAAATTATGGTCTAAGCATGCATTACTGGTATCAGAAACAACTGTGCAATTTAACAATCAGTATTACTGGATACCCCTCCCCTATTAGTCTGTTAAATTGTAGGTTTACTGTAATAGGTTCAGACAGACCTGGTACTCATAATTGTCTCTCAAACTTACTGACAGTTCTATTTTCATTTAAAGTAAAATAATTTATGTAGTAACTATTCCTTTGTCACACAAAATAAAATATTACAAAAATGTATGTAGGGCTGCATAAAACTGATGGGCCATTGGTCAAGAACCTCTGTCCTACAAGTTAAGAGCTGTGATTTTTATAGTCTGCAAAAAGTTTGATTAAATTTATACAGCTTATCAAGACTTTTTTTTGCTCAATGACTGGAAACAGTAATATGGACACAAAATTATTGTTTACTTATAAACAAAGAATACATTTTGTAACACTGACAATACTAATATCAGCTTTGGCAATATTTTAATTATATTCAATACACATGCGAATCAGTATCTTGAGTACATCACTATAAAAGATTCAAAATACCGTGATATGAAACCCAATAAAAAAAGTTATGCATACACACATGCAATAATGTTCATAGAGAGTTTTCCAAATTGTTCTGCAGAGGTACGTTTTTTTAGACATTTAATAATGAATACCAATATAAAAAGCTATTTTATAAAAATTACAAATGCAAATGCTGACTCTGCCACTAAATAATCATTTATGATGACATACTGATCCAATATCAAAGTACAAATTGTCTGACTGCAGGCATTTTTAGCAACACACTGAAGAAGTTGAATACTTTTCCCATTTTGAGGTTAAATTATATAAAATGAAAACTCAAACATATTGTGTAATCACAAGCAAAAACTGAGAATATCAACTAAGAGACTTAAGTAAATTACATGAAGTAAGGATAAAATCTGCATGAACTGTTAAGAAATTAGCATGACAGGATAAAACAAACCTCAAACATCTTCTGAAAGTATTACAAGAAAAGTAGACCAAATTATGAACATGGTAATATCAATGTCTTATGAATAAATAATGGGTTTGAAGAAAGATGAGAACTCCCATCGGTTAGGGCGCTACAAAGGACCAGATTTGTTACGCAGCAGCCCTGAAGATGAGAGCAGAGATTGCTCTCGAAACATTGGCAGAAGATATAGTTTATTCACCATTCAGCCACCTGACAGAACTTGTAACCCAAGAGTCTTTCATCAACTTCAGTCGCTGTGAAAGCTTCACTTTATACAAATAATAGAATTAATTTGAGAATGAATATGATGCATCAATGACCACTGGAGAGACAAGCGACAAGATGATTAAATCATGTGACATAACATTCAGAGATTATAGAAAGAGTAGACACATGCATCACAGTACTTATGGCAGAGCACAGAATGGAAATGGCTTTATCATGAAGGTGACCTCCACAGCAGAAACACCAGTGGATGAAAATTACATTAGCCAAATATTGAGACTTACAATTAACATTTAATTTATACACCATACTTGAATGACTGGTAGTCTGTTTTCATATTGTAATCCTCCTCATTGAAAAGCTTGTATGCAAGACCAGAATGGTCAAAACAGCAAGTACATGCTTGATTACTAGTATCCAACTAGCATCATTCCTCATTCTACACTGAGGTTATGAAAATAATTCTTGGGGGAAAAATAACTATTCAGTCAAGAAATGCATGGGGAGAGAGCTTAAGATAAATTTTGTTGGGTTTTTCACTTTCGTGTAACCCCCCACCCCACCACTTCTGAATCTACAGCACTTAGGTATGAGTTCCATCAGTAATTTTTTAGGCCAAAAGAGTTCCATGACCAAAGAAGTTTGGGAAACATTGATATTAGATATGGTACAACTGCTACAAGTCACAGTTCTGTGTAAATCATTTTGCACTACCCATGGATACACTGGTAGCTGAAGTAATGCAATACAAATGTATATTCTGTTAAACCTTTCTGTACTAAAGCAAAAGTACATTTGTTACCTAAGCACAATGTCTGTTGCACTAACAACTAATACACTTTATTTTAATCTGATCAATATTTCTTCATCCTATCACATAGTCTTATGCTTTGCAACATATGCATTTTAGTGTCAAATTCAAATAACAGTATTTGTAAAAATAATGAAATTACTTCTACTATTTTTTTATGTAATACCTAAATCATTCATATCAAATGACTAAGGAATTCTTAAAAACAAAGAGGCCTATGCATCACTCCATGAAGGCATGAAAGCAGAGATAAACATGAAAACATTCTTAACTTTGTTGTAAGATAGAAATGAGTGGTCTATTTCATGTTCTAACCAATTCATCTCCAGAGAAAGAAAGCTGAAGGAAGCTGGGGGTACCTCTGAGCCAGCCTGGACTTGGCAGGAAAAGAAATTAACATCTTCTGGTACCTGGACATCCAGTCTGTAGCCAGTCACTTTACTGACTCAGCTATCCTGTCTTCGGTGGACTTATCAGTTGTATGTATTTATTCCTGCTCCCTGCAGTAATGATGTTACATTGTGGCTATGAACGAACATAAAGGTTTTTCTCATCATTGTCACCATCATTATACAAAATGAAACAGGCCTGGGCAAGAGCACAATTATGTTTTCTGTTCACATTCTACTTATTTTAGCACCCAAATCTGTTGACCTGAAAGGAAATCTTGAATAAGAATGCCAATGTAGTTCCATACCATCAGAATCTTTTCCGTTTTTACTTATACTTGCACATGAAAGTAAATATGGGCAACCTTTTATAATTACATCAAGTACAAGGAAAACTAAGTTGTGAAATTACAAAAAACTGTTCAATTTTCCTGTTTATCTGCCATTAAATTTTACCTGAAATCTGATCCACAGCCAGCACACCCCATACTCATATATTTCTTAACCACACATCACCAGCAAAAACACTTCCCAATTCAACCTTCACATAGTACATTCATGGGAAGCACATATTTCACCTTAAACTTATACTGAAATATACTTTAGAAGATATAATTTAGTGACAGGGATGAAAGATAATTGGAAAAACAATATTTTTTTAAACTGACATGTACATACATATAAATCTAAAGGAGTAAATTGACATTCTTTGGCTTACCAACTCCATGCAAATAAGCAATCCCTGAAAGAAAGGCAACATAAAAAATGACAGCACATTTCAAACAAGAACCTCTTTCTTAAACTGTGAACATAACTTGGAGAACAAACAAAACACCTGTGTTCTGATAATATCACTACAGATTTCTGTAACTCTAATAATCAATAAATAGGCAAAATAAATACATAATGCACCTAATTACTAAACATTCATTATTACTGTACATCATCTGGAATCAAGCGAAACTACAGCGGGTGAAAAAAAAACTGAAGAGAGTTATCATTCATACATACAGTACCATTTTTTTCGTTGTAATGGCAAAAGCTACAGGGCAAACTCAAACATTCAGGTAACTGTCTGAGAGAACTGTGCTGAATAATTTTAATGTATTCTTTCAAGTATGAAATCAGTTTTTCTTTTGCTTCATTCTTGTTATTGTTTCAGAAACTGTCACCATAACCTGAGCAAAATATTTTTCCAAGAGACCGTGGTGTTTCATGCCAGGCAATAAAATTGTAGTTGTTACTGAAACAGAAAGCAGGATCATCTGTAAAACATACATCATTCCTAATACAGAAAATTGAATTGTGTAGCAACCAATTAACGCTTCTAATTGTCTAGGATAAAGTGTCTTATTGAGAAGGTAAATACCTGAATGCAAAATAGCAAAACAAAACCCACACATGAGGGATAAAAAAATTAAGAACACTTTAAATGGTCCAATAAAGTCTTCATAAAGCCACATCAGGTGGCCATAAAAATTGGTATTTAAAGAGCTGTCTCGGTCCTCATCATCAGGCATCAGATATGTCTGCAAAGCTCATGATGTCCCACATATATACCTGCCCAGACCATTTGTGTAGCCATGTTATCATACCAGCAAACTATCTCAAACAAGATCAGCAGACTGCATACTAAATATAATATCACGACCATCCATATTTCTGCCAGGAAAAATATCCATCTATTCATACCAGATAAGGACAAACTAGGTCTGGGCATCAGTGGTATCTACTGCATCCCTTGTAAATGTGGTTAGGTCTATGTGGGGCAGACCAGGCACAAGGAGCACATAGCAATATCCATCTTGAGCAATCAAATAAATCAGTGGTGAAAAAAAACACTGGATTTATACAGCTCACTATATCAATTTCAACATTGCCTTCACACTAGGGATGGCTATTCGGTACACGGACCGTCTCCTCAGGGAAGCAATAAATATTTAGCTACATCCCAACAACTTTAGCAGAGACAAAGTCTCCACTCAGTCACGCAGTAATCAATCTGCTCCAATAGTCTAGAGATGCACGAAGAGGAAAGTAAGGCCAAGCAGAACTAGGCATGTGACTTCACCTGTTAGCCCCAGTGGCCGTCCAGTCCAACAACAATGGCTCCATAAAAATATCAGATCCCTGATGATGAGGAATGAAATGGCTCTCAAAGTGTCAGTTTCTCACACATTTTAATTTTCACTTCTTTGTTCCCCTTTCCACAATTAGGATTGAGCAGAAAATCTTGTTTTAAGCCTATGTAAATTGGTCCTGTCTCATTCATTTTTTTTCTACTTCTCAGTAACCCTATAGACATGTTCCACAAATTTCTGATATGGATCATTAATATGTGGTATATGTACTATGCAACACTTTAGTTACAAGTGCTTGTGTTTCATGGAAACCTATCTCATATGGAAAAATATCCAGACCTCATTCCATGGGATTCCATTATATGCAGGTTTTACTGCATTAATATGTTTAATTTAAATTATTGATGTTGGTAGATACAAGCAATGAAATGCATTCCAAGACAACATATTCTGAATAATGGTTTATAATTATGGTTATACATACCAACAAGGTAAGTAAGCAGCAGATTATTAACAGTATTTCCCAGCCAAGCAAAAAACAGGAGACTTGAAACCACTGTTACATAATACTGAAAAGAATAATACATCCATGAATGAATGAGGTATTATTACAATATCCAAAAGGGTTATAAAAGGAAAAATAATTATAACATGAGAACCATATATTGTATTACTATTTAGTACAAACAAGAAGAAATGAATTAATCCAGTTCAGACTATGCTTTTACAGGGACACAAAATCCTGATTTAAAGCCTTATATTTTAGTCACAGAACATGGGATCTATTCATTCAGGATTTCAGAGCATAGAAATAAAACACAAACCTTAAGTTTAACAAAAATCATTTGTCTAGTCTCTTAAGCAAAATAAGGCATTCTATGAACAAAAACTGTATTATGTATCTAGCAATCAGACCATGTTTATTAGAGCTGTCAGAATCATCGGCTTGCAGAAAGAAGGGATCAGTACTTCATGACCTACAAGTCTGCACAGGTTTCAAGCTACAGCAGTTATATTCAGAAATTTATAGCACTAAGTAGATACAATTCTTTCAAAATTTTGAGAAATAAACAGAAAAAATATATTTGAAACAATGTAAGCTGTGCAAACACGGACTCATTATTGAGGTATAATGTATGGTGTAAATTCTCTAAGTATCTGGTAATGGGAATTCATATTAATAAAAATCACAGACAGAAGTAGACTATAATCATCAATTTATAAATTATGGTAGCACCTAGGAAGATGAGCTATGTAGAATAAAAATTACACAAGGAAGATTTAAAAGAAAAAATTATTGCTACACACCACTTTTGGTCTTGAATGCCGCATATCATAGAACATGGCCCATTTAACACCTGCTTGACTTTGAATGTATGCCAGATCACGACAAATCTCTTCCAATTTTCTTTCCTTGTTTCCAGTCCAATTTTCTGGATGGCAGATACTGGCTGAAAGGGTTGGAACCAAATAATCCACTAATGTAGCTATCAGTCCAATTATTGAAACAGTTGTAAGAACTGTGGGATCCAGATACCAGAACAATCTGGAAAAAAAAAACCCTTAGAAAGTGTATTCCATACCAGAATACACATATTATCCTCATGAAATGTACATTTACAGGTATTGAATCCAGATCAGGGGATCTCGATGTCTATCTCAAGACTTTCCTCATCTGTCATTATGTTATCACCGCTCATAGGATATTCAAAAGTGCAATTCTGAGGTTGTGCAGAATAGCACAACCTTTACATAAAATTTCATCTAAATCTGTGCAGTAGTTTTCAAGTTGAATCAAATGGACAGACTTTACCAGCCCACAATGCACTGCATGCAATGAACACATAATAAAATGAAGTATATTCACCCCATCAACAATTCCTTAATGGCCATGGAAATAAGAAAATACAGATGAATAGATAAATATGAGCAGAAAGGTCAACACATATAGAAAATGCAGTCCTTGGTGCCCAACTAAGCACCACATACATGCAGTAGAAGTAAAGCTCCATGCATTGTTAACATGGCTTAACATCAGAGAAGACTGCAGTCTTCACACTTGTCACTTTGGGAACACAAAATCTCTCCAGTACAACTTTTACTATAAATCCCCATCCCCAATACAAATGCAATGAAAATCTTATCAGTTGTTTTTGAGATCCATTAATTTTATGCACTCTGCACAAATACATAAAAACAAACACAGAAAAATAAACTTGTGGGGAGGAAACTGCAGCACACATGGATAAAATTTTAATCTAAGAGGTTCAAATGTAAAGATGTAGATTAAACAATCACTGGGAAGAAGGCTGTCTTATGGGTTGTTGTGCCATGTAGTCTGGGAAGATGAAATATACAAAGTGGTGAAAGACTGCACACAGGTATAAGAATTACAGCTATGATGCTTTAATAGATTAATAGTTGAGCACCAAGCTCATTAAGAGATAGCACTAAGATGTAAATATTATTTTGCTCACAGAAAAAAAGTTGTTGTCATGCCAACTAACATTCCAGGATACCAATTTCTTTCCCATAAAAGAACTGAATTCAATGGCAATATTACTTCACGCCATCCTTCTAATTCTCGTTTCAGTTGTTTTACTCTCTTATCCTGAAACAAAAATCTCCATTACATATGTACTACACACGTAAATAGAACTCAACTAAAATGCACTCAATATAACAAGATAAAATATATAAATGTTGTTTAACTTTTATAAAATAAGGAAAGAGAATTTAAACCCTGTACTACCGGGCTGCTGGCCAGAATTTCACTCCTGGGCTAACAATTTAGCAGTATGCTACATACATACATCTTTATTACATTCCAGCTAGCAATAATGGACTGCACAATCTGGACGAGAACCTATGTTCCGTCTTGATTCACATCCGGACATTGTGTCAAATGCACTGGCGTTGTTTTACAGATATACAATTTAAATTACACAATGACATGGGCCTGAATTCAATGTAACTGCTGCCGAACACACAACTATGGGAACCTCAGACTGTACTGCCAATGATTATAAAATAAATTAAAATGATAACAAAAAGCGACAGCGTTTAATTATTTATTTACTACCGCATCAAATGTAAAAGTGCCGTTCCATTATTTAAAATGCAATATAACAGTTTGTTATATAAAAGGATGTACGCAGTTATAAAAATTCAAAACTTAGGATCACGATCAGTAAATGACATTCATAACAAAACGATAATTTACCTGCTCATTTGCCATTATATTATCTGCAGCCATTCTTATTTTAGGTGTAGAGGACATTAGGTATAATTCTTCCTAGTTTGCACAAAATATGATCAGACGCCTTGACTTTATCTACAATTGCACTGACAACCTATTAACAGTCATGTGTGTAACCGACATGTTGCAGTGTATATATTACACACATTATGTTCACAGGTATGATTTTGAATACAAAGCATGGTATTTCTAAGTAGTGTTGTATTTTTTGAATGGTGAAGTAAATAATTAATTACAGTATGTTTGTAAAGCTTTTATTTCTTTTCGTATATTATTGTAGTAAGGAGAAAGTTGCTTTTGGGGTTGAGACTATGTCCTCTTATTTGTGATTGGTTATAATTTGAAATGTTGCTTTATTGCGAGAACTAGCAGCAACAGCAAAGTGTGGAGTTGTGACGTTAAAGATTTTTATGCTTTCATATAAAGAATTGTCCTGAAAAGTCTATATTGCTTTAGTTTACGTACAATACCATGTCCGCAATGAATTCAGTAAGTATTCCGAGAGTTCGCAGCTTGATTTTCGATTATCTGTGTGTAAACCGCTGCGTTAAACGCTATTACAGGACCAATTGGTAAGAAGTACATTAGATACAAGTGAGAGTTAAACTTTACATTTGATCTCTTTCAGATGTCGAACGTGGAAAATTTATCACCACAAATTATCCGGAGAGTAGTAAAGGAAATGAATGATTTGGTAAATGACCCACCAGAAGGTATCAAAGTAAGCATCAACGATGAAGACATCTCAGACATCCAAGCTTATATAGAAGGGCCAGGTAATAATACATTGTTGTCTTATTGTAATTCTATTTGAAACAGAAAGTACAATATGAAGTTTCCTTAAGCCTCTATACTTGGTCTGCTCCTATTTCCCTTTATATTAATGTACACTTCTACATTTGTTCTCTTCCCATACGATTTTTGCATAAAATTTCCTGAACCAGTCAAACCATTTTATAAAATTATCAGTTAAAGGTTCTACTGCCCTTTTAATTTTGTTAAAGCACATTTAAAATATAATAATAGCATGCCAATAACTAACTATAATGATCAACATATAAAAAGAAGTACAATCAAGATTCATTCATCAACACTTTGACAGTTGCTTAGGTTGGAAAAGTCATATACATCATTTTACAAAAATTAGCTCAATACAGACATAACAATTTTTTAAAATCTGGTAGCCTGACAGGTATTTTTGGTGCCAATAAACATAGAGCAGAAAATTCTGAAGGAAAATAATTCATATGCCACTACTTTGTCCAGCATTTTGCAGTAACAGGTAAACCTTATTTAATAACTTTGTCCCTATTCCAAAAAGGCAGCTCCTAAATATCAAGTGGAAAATTTGTTACCAGCTGAAATTTTCCAGAATCCTTGTAAGTCTACGTACTAATATATTTAGTCTGATTTGATGTACATAAAATATGTTCTTTATAGTTGATATTTGTTTTTAATGTTTTTGTTCTAGCGGGCACACCATATGCAGGAGGAGTTTTTCGAGTGAAACTTGCACTCGGGAAAGATTTTCCACAAACACCACCAAAAGCATTTTTTCTCACAAAGATTTTCCATCCAAATGTAGCAAAGAATGGTGAAATCTGTGTCAATACACTGAAGAAGGACTGGAAACCTGACCTTGGAATCAAACATATACTACTCGTATGTATAAATAGTTCCTGAAGTGCAGAGGTTTAACAAGTCACGTTTATAGTCAAACTGCATTCAGGTTATGTAAATAATTGAGGAAGGTATTCTATGCCTAGGACTTATGTATAGTCTTTTTCCCTCAAATTTCTGACCAGTATTTTGGCTGCATCTCTCATATCCCCTTGAGTGCTTCATTCTCCTTGATTTGATGGCGCTGATTGCATCTGGTGAAGAGTACAAATTATGGAGTTCCTCATTAATACAATTTTCTCCAGCCTCCTGTTACTTCTTCCATCTTAGGTCCAAGCATTCTTCTTGGCACCCTGGTCTCAAACAAGCAGTAAAATAATGAGGGAAGATGTACAATAATTGTGTCTTTTTTGAAGTGCTAAGAGTTTTTAATGTAACTGGCCAGATGGAACTCGAGAATCAGCAACTATCCCCACTGAATTTCTCTTATGGCAAAAGTGATATTCATGGTTGTGGCTGGTAGTCAATTCTAAATTGCAAGATCTGCAACACATTGGGTATGAATGACTTTGTTTATTTGAGAATTAGTGTTGTTTTCATTGTATAAGCACTAAATATCATGTTCTGCTGTTACAGACTGTGAAATGTTTGCTCATTGTACCTAATGCAGAATCTGCACTGAATGAAGAAGCTGGAAAATTACTGCTGGAGCAATATGAATGTTATTCACAAAGAGCAAAAATGATGACAGAAATTCATGCATTGGTAAGAAAACAATATAAGCCTGTTCAATGGAATGCATAATCTGCTGTTTACATAGAACATGCAGCCTATTTTCAGTTCACGTTGCTGTCCATTAGTTTTAAAACTTTATGAGAAGCCAGTTGTGTTCTTGGGGTAAAGGAGGTCTCTGAAAAGAAAGCTGTTCTGCTGTAAGAGAAGAAAAAGTAATATTAATGATTCATGTAGACATGTGAAAACTATTGTTGGCATTCTCAAGGGTTTGCAGTAAACTGAAGTCAGTAGCTTAGAGTACACAATGTCCAATGATAGGATGGTTAATTAATAATGAATTAGGATATGGAAGTAAGTGACCATGGCCTAATTTAAGGTAACATGACAGCAGTTGCCTTGAGGGATTTAGGACAAACACTAGTCAGCTAGCTGGTCTCTAGACCAAGATTTGAACCCAGGAACATATGGGAGAAGTGGTAACTGTTCAGCTGTCACATTCAGTTGGAAGGGAAATATTTTATAATATTTCAATTTACTTTATTTTCTAGTCATCAAAAGTGCCAAAGGCAGGACTGGAAGTAGCAGCATCATCAGCAGATGGTCCCATGGCCAAGAAACATGCGGGTGACAAGAAAGTAACAGCTGACAAGGAGAAGAAGAAATTGCTTAAGGATAAAAAGAGAACATTGAAAAGGTTATGAAACTGAAATATGGACTCCTGATCTTATCTTTTCATACAGTAATCTGTAGGAAAATGGAAGATCAGACTAGGAAATATTTTTATGTAAATATTTTTAAAGAGAGAAAGGCACTGATAAAGATTTAGATGGCAACACTTGAAGTAACATTTAACAAGCAGTTTACTGTCAAAAACTATTTATAAGTGGTACACATTAGAAAATGAAAAAAAAATCCTGTTATTTAAATATGAATATGACACCAGTTGAACTGGTTTTGAGTGAAAACTGGAGTATTTATTGGCTTAGATATGTCTTTGTCTGAAATTTATTTATTTTATGAAACATTTAAGCACCTTTTATGTATATTATAATCATTGGGACCCCCAGTGTTAATATTTGAACTAATATACACTAAATTTGAATTTTGTACATGTGTGGAGAGAATAAAACTACAAACACCTCAGGCCACAAGTATTTCCAGCCTTGAGGTAACCTAATAAAAAGTTATATACAGATACGTTTCCTTCTTTAACCTTTAAACGATGGGGATTTAAATGGCATAGTGGTAGCAGCCCTTACTTCAGTGGATACACATTATTCTCACCCATCATGCCCAGGAATGTGAGAAGCTTTGATTAGGGGCCTGAAAAGGAAGCTGAAACCCACTTGACAATAACAAAGTTTATTGCTGTTTATGGTTAAGTTTCCGGTTGACAGCTCAGGCTGACCTTGTAAAAACCCTAGAGAAAGTGATTCAATATTTGCAGCCCCTAAAATAGGCAATTACAATGTTGCAAGTTTTGAGGTCCCCTCCAGGAAAGAGGACTGACTACACAACTTATGTTCCCAGGCTGGGAACACTAGTAAGATAAAAGTTAAGTGAAAGTGTGAGTCTCTCATAAATACACGCTATAAACTGCAACAAATTTTGATCATAACTTTCTGGCATTTTCTTTATTATGAGGGACAATGAGCTCAGAGAGCATAATAAACCTTTGAAGAAGTGAGAGGACAAAGTTTTTTATGTGAAATTAGATGAATACTTAATCTGAAGAGTTGACCTTTTCAAATAATGCTTGAAGGTACCCAAGTTTCATCAGGGCAGATCAGCATTTTACACTGAGCAAAATGGTCAAGATTTCAGTGTTCCATATATGGTGTGCCCCTCTTTCCTCAATTTTTCAGGTTTGAGCTTTACAGTAGCATCACTTCATTATGGTTATGAGGCAGAATGTGGATGTGTGAATGCTTGTGTGTTGTGCCAGTGTAGTATAAATTGTGTTATTTATATTGTCCATTAAAGGAATTTTAGATAAATTTTGTACTTTTGATTATGATTAATCTGTGTCACCTGCTTTTTCCTACCCTTGTAAAGCACCCATGAAAATTAATAAATTTGGTATACTGAATATGTAGGAGTATCATTGATAAGGTATTCTAACTGTATTCTGTAGAGATTCAGAATAGACTATGAAATTACAGGGTGTTACTTCTCATGGTGCCATCTGTACAAAACAAAATTTTTTGTTATAATATAAAGATATTCTAACAGGTTTCAACCTGGCCTGAAATGTTTCTCATTTACAACCCATCTAGTAATAATTAGAGATGTCAGTTGTTGATTTGCTGTGGAAGAGCATGAAATTGCTTAAATTTGTAATGTTCAAATTCTTGCCCCCGTGCTCAGCCATACATTCCAACAGTGAGGCTGGGAAAAACTAGTTCCTGAGGAGTGTTGTGTACCATCACACATGTGCATGGTGGCACAAATTTGAACTGTACATACCCTACACAACATAGTTCCTTACTAATGAACCTTGAATGTACTAGCTACAAGTCATGTAAGCACACATAATACATATAAATGTGGTTTTTGATCCAGTTCTTACATTCAGACCAGTCTGCAGATATCCATAAACATCCTATTTTGAAAATTTAATCACATCAGTAAAAAAAATCTTCCAATTGTACTCTGAGTGTTTCTGTTGTGCATAACAGTTATCTTTTGGCATATGGAAAAGAAATTTGGACAGTAAAATGTAAGCACAGTACAAGCAATAGAAATTTCTAAAAGAATATTAAGACAATCAGAAACATGGCTGTTAGGCAATATCTTGGATAGAAACAATGTCATTTATGAAAGGTGTACAAATTTAGGATATATACAGACAAGAGGAGCACATGCATGAGAAATGAATTTCACCATGAATCAGTATTCATCAAGCTATCTTCACAAAGAGAATTATGGTGTGGTGAATTTTCCAGCTCCTCATTGCACTCTTAAGTAAAACTTTGATCTTTTGTTTATGCATTCCTTGTGACATAACTGATCTTTAATTTTTTTTTAATCAATGCTATGATTTCATAGAGTCTAGGAAATTAAATTGTTTAAAAAGAGAAAACATATTTCATCCAGTCATGGGAATAAATTTGGCAATCCCTGGTCTAAAGCAGTAAATTTCAAAAATGGCTGGGGTAAAAGAATTGTTTGGATACAACCACAGGAAAAAAAAGTGGTAGTAATAGGTTATTGAAAACTTGCTTAAACTGTAATACTATGGATGGAAGTAAATCATCCAGCATAAGGCATCCGAGTTCTCTGTTTAAAAGAAATTTAAATTTTTCACTACAGTTACTAATGGCCATTTCATAGTTGCAGTGATAACTTGCCAGTTTCTCTCTGTGAAGGCCTACATTCAATTCCAGGGCAGTCCAAATGGAATTTTTTTGTGGACAGTGTCAATAGGGCAGACCTTCCTGAATACATTTGTTTCCTCCTTATGATTCCAATAGTGCTCCATACTCTGTTACCATAGTCTGGTACAATAGGCCCATGAGGCTTCAGTACAAAATGTCACCCCCACTCTTATCATTATTACTGTTACTGAAGGAATGTAAAGAAATATTTGAGTAACTCTGAGGCTGCTAGGAAGATCATTAAATATGAAAAGATCCTAAATCCATAATATACAATCAGTCTTAATAATTGGGGGGGGGGGGGACACAAAGAAAAGAAAGAAAGAGGATGGCATTTCCATGAGAACAAATACCTTGGAATAAGGAACAGTGGTGGAATGGATACAAGGGACTGGTAGTGAGCATAAGCAAAGTAAAATTCAACAACATTTAATAGTTTTATGTTATGCATGAGTGTAGGGGAATGTTATTTGACAGTAAAATGTGTGTACATTTTTCACTCAATTCACAGCAATTGAAATTACGTCTATAAATATGTACATATGCTTAATTTTAATTCCAAATATTTTCCAATTTATGCTGTCAAGTGATGAACCAAAATTTATGTCACCATTAAGTTATAATACAATAAAATAAATATCGAATACAAAATTACTTTATATTGAGGAATATATCAGTTTAATATTGAATCAATACCCATTAACCTCTGCTTTATTACTGAAAATTTATAGCATTGTCAGAGATATTGAAAAGTCTTCATATATCTCTTGAGATCTGAACATCACATATTTTATCACATCTTGTGACCAACACTGCTTGTTATGTCATCAACTTCGAAGTTTATGACAAAAGTAGACTCAGTGCTATATGTAACTATAATGTCAGAAAAGGCAAATCTAAAAATTTATTAAAATTTATTTTTGTGTAAAATCAACTTACCCATAGTAGTTAAAATGAAAACAAATATCATGTCTTGCATGTTACTGACATTTCAGATTTGAATTTTAGTTATAAATTACACCCAATCAAGAGCAGGAGAAACATTCTCAGGGTTAATAAAATCTTCTCGGGCAATAAGCTGCATCAACTGATTACCGTACTACGTAACCAGTTGACACGGCTGATTGCCTGAGAAGATTTCATTGATTATACTCACTGCGAAAGTCTCATATCCTATATTTTCAGGGTTGTTTGCAGTTTTACTTACTCCTATGCAAAAGCAACAAGGGACATACCCACTTTTGTGGCTCTTCCACTAGCTGTCAAGAATGTAGGAAATTGATTTCCTGTGCTGTACAAGATTAATTTCTATCAAATTTATTTCCTGATGGATGTCAATATCTGTTGGTTCAAAAGAAAAGAGTTGTAGGCTTTATCCTTCATTCTGCACATGAACATCCTCTCACATAACATGACCATGAGCAACTTCTGCAGCTGATTAATCATCCTTAAATAGCTACAAACCAACTCAGTGAAATTGCTGGCAGCAATTATTTTCATTTTATTAATTAGCATTTGAGAGCACAAAACCAAAATCAAAGGGATGTGGTTGTATTACATTTATACTGATGACAGAATCATGATATATAATCTAGAAGTCACTTTGGTTGAAAATAAATTTGTTTTACAATACTGGAAAGATCAAAGTAAATATTTAAAGACTGAAAAGGACCACAAGCAACTTCATAGAATTCCAACATACTCATTTTTTGGTGGCATTTGTATAATTTAATCAAAAAGTACTGTAACTTGTATTAGAACATCTCTACTTGACTCATTGATACTTGAATCATAATGGATGATCCAGAAAGTATTTTTGCATAAAACAAATTTGTTTCAGCATGGTGAAAGCCAAAGTAAATATGCCTTCTTCACATTTATAAGATATCATCAGAAAAATACCACTCAAATTCAAATTTATTTGAGAAAATGAAAATAGTATATTCTGTTCATCAGTTAACATTTTACCAATCAGTTTAGCTCAAAAGTGAAAATGACTTAGAGAGTCAACTAATATTCCAAAGCTGCAACACTCTATAAAATATGTAGGAGCAATGTTCCCAAAATGGTGTAAAATTACTATTATTTTGTCAAATCTTAGACATAGAAGAGACTTTAATGGCTACATAATTCAAATTCAAACATATGACAGAAAACACATTTGTGTTTTCTGTCATATGTTTGAATTCTGTGAAATTCTTACATATTTATGTGGCAAGTAAACATCTTCATCAGTTTTTTACCTTCTTCCCTTTCCTTTTAATGGAAGATTTGTTTACTCGGCTTTTTCATTATGTAGGCCTACATGATTATTCTAAACTAGACTCATGAGATGGCACGCATAGTTTTATGAATCCATTCAATGTTTGAACTTATTTTATCATACAGCCTTGGACGTTCAGTTCCAGGCTTAGAGCAAGCTATCCTCCAGTTGCTGATTCCAACAAGAGACCATGTTTTATTGTCAGGAAGCAAACATAACATTGAACTCCCAGCAAGTTCTTCTTCCTAGAAAGCAGAAAGAGTAAAGTATAAAATAAATTATTACTTACAGTGACAAAAGACACCAGAACTCAAGTCAATGTTTGATTCTTACATTGCAGTCATCTATGAGGTATGCTGGTTCAGTGCAAATGCTGTTCACAGTGGGGATGCTGATATTTTCACACCTCTGCATTGAACTCAACTTAATCTCTATTCGTTGAAGTTGTTCTCCTGAAACACATTTAATTCAACACAATTTGTGCTGTACAGTATTAGCTCACTTTCATAAGCCACTGTCATACTACATGACTGTTGATTCAAAATATTTTCATATGAGTGAAATGAAATTTATAGAGATTACATAACAAATTATTCAAATGTCTGTAAAACTTCCGTGCAGGTAAACTAACAATCTAAACAATGAAACTTGATAGATTTGAGTAGTTGGCTTGATGATCTAGTCCTGAAATGTCAGACCACTGGTGAGGGACAAGTGTATCATTACTTACGATTCCGTGCCCATCCCAAGGTGTTACAATGTGAGAGATGTGTAAGAGACCCTCCTGATCCCTCTTCTGGCAGGCAAATTGGATGTACAAAGTCAGACATGGTAACTGGTTGTTCCAACTTTACCATGACTACAGTGCTGCCTTCAACAGGTGATTTGACCATCCCAACAACAGCACGTTCTTGAAGCCACGGTGAAGATCCTGACAGGCGGATACTGCCCAGGTGTGCCACCCACTGTGCTTTTGGTTGTCTTCAGGAGAAGAATGACAAGATTATTTCATTTATTAACAAGAATGATGTTTATGTATGGTGCATACCATTGCTGATATTCTCATAATAATCGACATCATCATTCTTGTTTATATAGTACCATTATTTTATTATTGTTATTTTTGCTGCTATTGATTTTATCATCATAATCAAGATGATCATTCTCATCACTGCTATCAATATCATAATTTTACAAATATTATTACATTATGATTATAAACATCACTGTTACTATTATTTATTTTGTTATGTTTTATAAACCCTTTCATTTTACACCTAGAAAGTTGCACACATGTGTGCATTATGAAAAGAACTGTTCTACCAGATATGTCTTGTTCTATAATATTAATGTTTTAATTTAAGATAATTTAAAGAAATATGGCATACATGTCAATAGTAACATTACCATAACAACAAATACATGATCTAATTAAACTAAAATGTAATATTTATCAAGTAGGATTTGAGGTTTTCACAGCGGTGAGTTTGAAAATGGTTGTCTATTGGGTTGTTACACCATGTAATTTGGTAGAAGTTTGCTGATGTTTCAGAAGTCTACCTATTTCTAGCAGGCTACATGGCACAACAACCCAGAAGACAGCCATCTTCCAAATATTTATCAAATATCAAAAATATGCATAAGATCAACTACCTTAAATAACTTCTACCAAATCATTTATAATATTCCCTGTTATTTTATTAAATTTATTATTATTACTTTACCTGTTATAATAATCAGCACACATATGTAACAATCAGTACATCAATTAACTGATGAATAACTTATAAATGTAATATACAATTCAGTAATTAGACGTATACTGTACTACATGGGAGGTGTGGGGTTGCATATAAGCTCAAAAAAGATGGTCATTGTACAAGGGTCAGTTAGGCACCTATCCCATTTACATACATACCCTTGGAAACATGATGCACTAGTCAACAGCCACTCAGCAGACACCAGCGTTGCATCACAGACGTGAACGCCATCCTTGAACAGTGCAGCATGCCAAGGCCAATCTGCATGAGCAGCCATTTTGCATAAACCTTGAATGCCTGCATTTCCTCGTAGGCTCTGAGTGCCACATTCTGCTCTCAAGCAACAAAACATGTTTGATACACATGAATTATCACAAGGCTTGCTTATTTGAATACAATAATCAAGTGGATATTTGGTCTTCAAATTTGATATTAGTGTATTTGTTAATTTTGGAACAACTTGAAGCGCTAATAGGTTCACACTACATGAAAAGCTGTCTTTATGAATGGCTGTGTGGTACATGGTCTTCAGAATCATATGATAATTATCCTACTTTTATGAAACCTGAAAGTTCATTACCATGTTAAAAATATGTCACTGAAACCTGGCACAAACCGTTTCAATGCAGTATACACTCGGACATACACTATTTATCTAAGAATAATTTTAATATTCTCCCATTTACATTTAGGTCTCCCCAAGTGTACAGAGTCTACAAATCTCAAATTTCTCCTACCTATGCTACTATCTTACAGTTCGTATGTATGTAAAATTTGAGGTTTTCACTGTGGTGAGTTTGAAGATGGCTGTCTTCTGGGTTGTTGGCACCGCGTAGTCTGGTAGAACTTCTACCAGACTACACAGCACAACAACCCAGAAGACAGCCATCTTCAGTTCATATGTATTTGTGAAAGGTACATTTTCATTAATTTTTGCATGTTCTCCAGATTACATTCTATGGAAATATTATGGCTGACATAAGTCATTTCAATCAAATGCTTGCATAGAGTCCAAAAATGAATATTTCTTCTAAAATTCACACTATATTACATACATTCCATTATTAACAATAAGAAATATATGATAAAGAAAAGACATACCAAGATCAGAACATCCTACATAAAGAACTTCTTTTTTGGGACATGGTGCACGAACAAAAGTAATTTCAGCGGCACTGGGGTCTTCCATATGAACATACTGAACTTCATCTTCCTTATCTTCCTGAATTCGAACAAAGTTCACGTTTCTGTAATAAAATTTAGCTCATAACGATAGGGAAAAAAAATGTATACCTCTGAGATTTTGTCTTTGACAATATGGAATGTATGACATACTAACACTTTTTACATAAAAAAAAAAAAAAAAAAAAACAAATACCAAAATAATAGATTGTACAATCAAGATGCAGCCATGCTGATGGGTTTCATATGTGAAGTTTGAAACTAAATTTCTGCTGTATCATTCAGCTATTCAGGTGATATTTAATTAGCATAATGAAATGTAAAATGATGTTCATCAATATATGATGCAGCTATAATTAAATAAGATACAAAATTAGAGAGGCTCCTTGTATAATGGTTGTACACTTGTATTGTGTGTTATGCCTGGCCAACCTTCAATATCCTGCCGTGTGCTGCTATGCTGCCGTTAGAGGAATAATTTATTTTTAATGTTACATATGCCATAGCTACTTACTTATATGACAGGACATTGCACAGTGATGTAGCAATTGTATTTAGTGTTGCTTCCCTGTTAGGTTCAGGTACTGTGGTATTCAAATTTTCTGTGCAGATCTTCCCAACTTGGCCCTTCTCACTGAAGATGACATATCCCTCAGAGTAGTACTGCGAGTGATGAGGAGTTGCAGGTAAAGTTTTAACAATAGATAACAGGCTGGGAGCAACAGTCACTACAAGAAATGGGAAATTATCAAGATAGATATGTTAACTGTAAATTTAGCAAATGATGTGCTGTATCCTCACACATACACAATTCAATCTGCAATGTGAAACTCACTCTGACTCATTTCAGAGGTCAGATATTTTATCACATTGAGGTTAATGCACATACACATATCCTTAATGGTGCATACACCTTTACACAAGCAGAGTGATCTCTGCATTTTATTAATATAATATTGGCCTTTTAACTCTCTGAAATCAAAAACTACCTAAATACTTAAAAATTAATTTCCTACCTTACAGGAATAATTTACCTCCATCACAAATATCAACTGGTTAATGCTTTTTAACAAAATAATCACCAATCATTCTGTGAATCATATGAAATCCATGCTGAGTGTAAAATGCAGTCAATGAATTTTAAAACGTATAGTACATAGTTACCATTGTGCTTCAAAGGATTGATTGTCAATCCCTAAACACCATGAATACTAATTTTAATGCACTCCACTCCAGAAACTGCAGTTTTTTTAACAAGAAAAGACGCCTCTGTATGTAACACAACCCCTTCCTAAACTTCCTTCCTTCCCAAACTAAATCTCCATAATCCCCCAACTCTTCTGTAATATAATGTGGGGAGAATCTGGTTAGTTTTTATGTTATTTAGAAGTGGTAGGGAGAGTGTAGTTGATTCTTCTCTCAAATGAGACGAGAAAATGATAATGAATGATGCATACATAAGAATTTGGAAGGACATGTTTATAGTCCATTTTAAGTATTGTACTACCATTCACCTATACACCTTGTGAAAACAATGAAACACCTTATACAGGACAGTCAGTAGCCCTGCTGAGATTTCAATAGCATATTTCACACGTCATAGCTACCACAGCAACCTGCTCAACATGTACTTACAGCATCCTTTCTCATCACTGCCATCAGGGCAGTCATTGTTCCCATCACAGCGTCTTTCCATTGTGATGCAGACTTTGCCTGCTCCACAGTGAATATGATTATCTGGACAGTAGCTACAGCTTGTTTCATCTGAAAGGTCCCTGCAGTCCACCACACCATCACATACTTGTGATGACAAACCATGTGCTTGCAGTTCCTTCACACAACCTGTCACAACAATCACAGTTGCTCCATGTTGTTTCTTTCTCATCTGCAGATATTATACTAAAGATGAAGAACGATGGTAATAATAAATGATGTGGAAGGAAGTGGTAATGGTCTATTTTAAGGTATTATCTTTGCATTTGCCTTCAGGGACAGATAAAAACCATGATAAAATTGGTCTGTGGGCTAAGAATCAAAGCTAGGACCTCCCAAATATGAAGTTCGAACATTATCCGCTTAAGTGGATTTTCTAGTAGGCCTAAAAGCTTCTATAATCTCTGTCTTATTTAGTGACAATTTAAAAACTGCATAAATTATATAATATTCAGTTGCATAATGATTCTGATGAAGTACTAGAAAGTTGTGAAAGGAAACTGCAACTTCTTCAGGCAGGATAACAGGCCTCCAGGCTGAAAACTGAACACAGAGCATCCCAAATATGATGCATCACCGTATGTTTAGTCAGACACTTATAGTAAAATACTTTCTATTGTCTCTCCATATGCAATTACATACTAACATACAACACACATTATTACATTATGGATCTGCAAGCTAGTCACATGATAATAGGATGAGGAATAAGTCATAATAATATAATACATATTTCAAAGTACAGTTCATACTATTATAAACATTTCAAATACTAATTAGACATGATAAAAATTTAAAGATCTTGATCTGTAGTGTACCTTCACATATTCTTAACTGATATAGTGAATATCCTCTGGACTGTCATATACCTGGTTTTGAATTGCAAGATCCTGGTCCAGTGAATTCTGGGAAATGCATGCAGTCTAGCGCATCTTTGAATCTGGCAGGTATTCTGTTGCCACAGCCAGCATGAAACTCCCTACAGAAGCTACGACAAGGCAGAATCATCTTGTCTTCTGCTTCACCAGGCAAACGAATAGTACATGATGGCTGCAGTAGCTGGCACACAAACTCGTAAGCCAGTCGATAACATTCCGCATCTACAAGCTCTCTGTATAAATAAGCGTACAGTAATTTATTAACTCATTTACTGTCAGGCATCTTAATGCCAGTTTAAAACTATGGATCAGCAGCTATGGCCACAGCATAAGATTTTTCAAATTTATAAAATAAACACTTTTAATTAATTATATCTCTCACAGCTGAGAGTCAATATCTGCTAATGGATGCTGTCCTGATCCACATCAGGCCCATTCTCACAGCATCTCAGTACCATCCACTTTAATTTTCCCATCTTCTTCTTAGTCATCTATTATCAAAGAGATTTCCCCACCAAAATTCTGTATGCATTCCTTCCCTCCTCCAGCCAAGTTATATGCCCTGCCTCAGTAGGTCTGAGGCTAGCTCAACTAGGTGGTCCAACAAAGA